AATAAACACAAACAATAATGTAATTATTTACTTAAATAATAAATCGATAAAAATATATAAAATAAAGAACACAAAAAAATTAAAATATTAATTAAAAATTAATAAAAAATAAACACATAAACAATAATGTAATTATTTACTTAAATAATAAAGCATTAAAAAGATATAAAATAAACAATACAAATTTGATTAAAGAAATACTACATCTACTGTGCTATAGTGAGTAGAATTATTTTTTAATTTTATATATAGTTTACCAATTTAAATTAGTCTGAATTGGATATTTATACAGGAAAATATATAACTGCTAGGCCTGTCACGATAACAAGTTTTTTGTTGTGCGATATATTGCCCCAGAAATAATTGCGATAAGCGATATTATTGTAGTTTTAAAGACCATTTTATGCCACTGAATATATAATCATAATGTAACAGCATAATAATGCAAGAAGGCCGACACACCATGTGCTATAGTGAGTAGAATTATTTTTAAATTTTATATATAGTTTACCAATTTAAATTAGTCTGAATTGGATATTTATACAGGAAAATATATAACTGCTAGGCCTGTCACGATAACAAGTTTTTTTTTGTGCGATATATTGCCCCAGAAATAATTGCGATAAGCGATATTATTGTAGTTTTAAAGACCATTTTATGCCACTGAATATATAATCATAATGTAACAGCATAATAATGCAAGAAGGCCGACACACCAAACTTCCAAATGACAACAAACTTTACATTTTTAAGAATATTTAGATCATGGAAATTAAGTATCAAAATATTCCATACCTTAAAAAACTTGAATAAATAGTAAATAAACATTTTCTAACAAAGAGAAGACACAGGCGCGAGTGGAATGTACAAAACACGGTGACATTCATTTTCAAGTAAATATAATGGGCGATATATATTGAGTCACCAAAAATGATTGCAGTCATGTATAGGGCTGTGCGATATTGAAGAACAATGCGATATGCGATACGATAATGCTTAAAGTGCCACATGCTCAGATGAAACAGTTTTACTCGGCTGTTGCGGAGTCAGTTCTGTGAACCTCTATAGCTATCTTGTGTCATATATATATAGTTATTTGTATGTATGCATGTATCAAGAGCTCCTGTAAAACCACAACACATGCCTTGTGTTCACGCACACTTAAGCGGTGAATAAAGCTCATTCTGATTCTGATAAGAAAGCACCCCTACAACAACTTCTGAAAGTGAACAGTATGTGTTTTACTCGAGCATTACATAAAAATGTCATTTTAACATTGGTGTAATCGTTTTAACATGAGTTTAGGAACTGAGTAATAAAAAGGAAAAATAAAACACTGCGTAGTATTTACTCTTTGCACTGATTCTTATTTAAGCGACAAAAGTTATTTAGGTAAGAGCAGCGAGTGATTTTCTCTGTCTTTTGTTCATGGCTCCAAATATTGCAAGCTGTAGTAATATGTACATTTGTGATATTTCGATATATTGCACAGCCCTAGTCATGTACATATATTGCACGATAAGTCGATATATTGATTATTGCGACAGGCCTAGTCAGTGCACAATCATAGATCTGTTGATTTGTTCCAGCAGCTGACCGTGAGGATCATGTGGAGGTTCGAGCCGCGGCGCGTCCGCAGGCGGCATAAATCTATAATTTTGACTCGTGCAGTGTATTGTTGGATATTGCTACAAATATCCCCCAGCGACTCAACACTGCTTTTGTGCTGCAGGGTCACATATGACATCAAAATCAAACAAGAACTTTGGCTTTATCTAATGTTCAGATTTCTGCATATTACATAATTGCTCGTTTGCATATCTAAACACAGCAGTGATTAATCAGCTGCGGAAAGAATGGTTCTATCTATTAGTTAAACATCTTTTACTCTCCTCACATGTAGTGTCTTGAGTTAAGTTGCGTCACGGAACACTTTAGAGTTTAGATTAGTCACTAAACACTAAACGGTCTCGTTCTGTCTCTTCAGAGGACAGTCCTGTGGAAGCGGATGAGGATCAGGAAGACAGGCAGCCGTCTGAAGAACGTCCTCAAGCCGCTGCTAAAGTCGGAGCGAAGAAACAGAAGAAGCTGGAGGAGAAACAAGCGCGGAAAGCTCAGAGAGAGGTTACAGCACTGCTGCTACACCTCACACTTCACCCGTATCAGAAGTCTGGTTATTAATGTGTGTGTGTGTGTGTGTGTGTGTGTGTGTTTCAGGCCGAGCTGGAAGAGCGAGAGGAGAGGAGGAAGATGCAGGAGCTCAGAGATCAAGAGAGACAGAAAGAAGACGAGAAGGAGAGACTGCAAGAGCAAAAACGGGTAATTTCAACTAGTGGTCGACCGATATATATCGCCAGTCCTGATATTATTGGTCAGTATTTGCCTTGAGTTTTTCTGTTCTGCCCCATGAGCGTCAGCAGCAGGACTTTTATTTTGACAGAGCCTGAGCGCAGACGCACATCTTCAATCATTTACTGTCTTTATTTGACAGTTCTTCTAATAATTAAAGGGCAACCACTATAATACTTTCATGTACAGTACTGTGCAAAAGTATTAGGCCATTAGTATTTTCACCAACAACAAAAAAATGGTTTTAAGTTATTACAATTAATGGCAAAAGAAATGTAAACTGATATTTCCTTCTGACACACTACAGCAAAAGATAGAAATAACTGACACAGTGTAACAGTGTGCACCTGCAAAAGAAGCTGTTATATTTGTTGCAGAGTTCATTTTAAGATCATACCCGGTTCATTTACTAAGACAAAACCAGTGTTTCTTCATGCACGGCTCAGTTTTGCTTTCATGTCATTCTTCTGTCAGACTAGTGTGCAGAAAACATCCCAAATCTACATTTTAGTGTTCATTTTATTGCACTTTATCTGTGTGCAACTGTAGATTTCAATTCCAGTTCTGTTGGCGCACGTTAAACGGATTTGATTGCAGTGCGCACAAAGTGTGCTGTTGGTTAGCGTTTAGTTTATTTATTTGTGTTTCTTGATTTGCAAACAGTTCTACAATAGGAATACAGAATCAATAAGCTGCTATTCAAAGTATACATCTGTCTGTTTTATAGTCTTTAGTTCAAAACGCTGACTAATATTACAAAACATTTTATAGTTATGTTAAATATTTTTAAAAATCTGTTTGGATGAGTCAAAATTTAGGTTACATTCAAATGTGTTTCAAAATAATAAACTTTAAACAGAAATTGCGTGAAAATGTGTAGAACTTTATGGAGTTGATTTGAATCCTGTATTGCTCAGCGTATTTATTAGCAGAGAGTGTAGAGTGCATTTGTAAGATGAGTCCTGGATTATGACTGTTTCTCTGTCTGTTCAGAAGTCTAAAGTGGTTTTGCTGGAGGATTTGGCGTCCCACTTCAGCATGCGCACACAGGTCAGTGTTCATAGCAAACCTCAGCTGACCTTTGACCTCTGAACACATACTGCTGGTGCCTTTAGATGATTGTTGACATGTGTTTTCATGTCAGGATGCTATTAGCAGACTGCAGGACCTGATAGCAGACGGCTCCCTGACAGGTCTGTAT